CGCCCAGCCTCCCCTGCTGTCCCGCCGGCGTTCGGCCAGCTCTGCCCACGCGTGTCCACAGGCCCTGCCAGTTCCTCGCTTGTCCTGGAGCCCTGGAGGGGCTGGCTCTCGAGCGGCTCTGCCAGCTCCCGGGCGTGCACCGCCCAGCCGCGGCGTCTCCCGGCTCAGCTGGAACTTCGGACCGGAAGCCTCGTCGTGCTGCTCTAGCTGACGGGACGGGTCTTGGACCCACTGACCCTCTAATGTCCAACATAGAAACATAATTCCAAAATGACGTTTTCTGTCTCAAAGGCAGTGTGTGTACAGAAGCCCACTGACATCTCGGTGTCAGGCTGCGGGTGTCAGGCCCTGGAGCAGCTCGTCTGCGTCGTCTCTGGACAGTGCACGCTCGCTCTGTGCGTGTGGCCCCTGCGTGTCCCGGGTGCGCCCGGAGCAGCGCGAGTGCGTCTCCTGCTCCCTCGCCGTGGATCTGTACCATGCTGCAGAACATGCTTCTACCTCTTTTTTTAATTTATGCATAGGAGAGCTGGGGTACAGGCCAGGGGTGGGGGGTGAGAGGATGCGCCAGAGACAGTGGGGAGCAGAACAGGTGGATCCACTGAAACCCACGGCTGAGGGGAGCGGCGGGGACACAGGAGCGGTCTGCTGCGCCCTGGGGGTCCCCTGCCTGGCCCGGGGCGAACCCGCGCTGCAGGGGCCACGGACAGCCTCGTGGCGCCGAGGCTACCCCCTGCACTACCAGGGGGCCCAGGACATGTTTCTCTTTCCAGCAGGATTTTTTTTTCCTATGTGTGAGAACATGTTTCCCCTAATTGTATTTTACTTTTAAGATCTCTCAGTTAGATCATTCTGTAGCTAACGCGTTGGCCTTGAGCACTGGCTGGCACTCTGGCCTTCATGCTGTTTGCTCAGAGGAACGCTGAGCGCGTCCACTGAGACCCCGGGAGGACACAGCGTGAGGGCTTCACCGCACAACCCAGGACCCCCAGAGGTGCCTGCCTGCTGCCGGCTGCCGCCCTTTCTCTGACAGACTGTCCTTCTCCGAACGCAGATCCCCCTCACCAGCTCTGGCGCCGTCCCGTACCTGGAGTTCCTGTCCAGATTTGGTGGGCTTGACCTAAACACGAACGCTACAAAGAGGTGAGTGTTTTGCTCGCTCACAGGCAAGTGTGAAACCCGCGACGATGGCAGGTGAGACCTAAGTTCCCAGACCCGGTCGTGCAGCAGGCGTGCCGAGGAGGCCGCTGGGCTGGCCCATCGAGCGGACGGGTGGCGCGGCCGTCGGACGGTTCCTCAGGGAAGATTCTGGCAAGTATGTGCGTTTCAGAACGAGAGAGGTAATACCTGGCTTAACAGCAGGTTAAAGCCAGGCTAGTGCATTGGGCGTGCAATGTACTTCAGACTTGACAATGAATTTTGATTTTGAAATAGAAATATAAAGGTCTTGCATTTAATATCGCACATTTTTAGACATGTGATGTGTCTTTCATTGGAAAGTGTTTGGTGACTGGCAATGCAATGTTTAAGTAAAAGAGCTCTGTCCGAGTGACGTTAGTGTGTCAGCGCCTCAGTGTAGCGCGGGGCTTGTTTGCTATAGCTGCAAAACCAGCGAGAGTGTCGACTTGTGTGTCCACCAACGGAAAATATCTTTGGCGGTGGTGTATGATTTAGGAAATGCTGGTTTGGGAAATTTTTTTCATTCAGATTATCGGAATCTGAAAGAAGCCTTGTTTTCTCAGGCGTCACAAACAGCTAGAACTAGAACTTGCTTCTGAAGTATTAGCACGTTTTGGCATCAAGCAGTTCAGTCCTCGTGGACACGCCCGTGCGAGGTCTGTGCAGCAGGCAGACGGGAGTCGGGAGCTGTGGCTCGGCGGGTTGGGGAGTTTTGGCTTTGGAAGATGAAAACGTCTGAAGACCTGTAGTGTGACAACGTGAATATATCTCACACTCTGCGGCTTTACAAATGGGTTCACGTTATGCTATTTTTAGCCACAATTAACAAAGACTTAGTGCAGCTGCATGAACTGGCATTATACCCCGGTTCTGCCTGGCGCTCAGAGTTTGACGATGAGCGTCTCTGGGCTCCCTGGACGACGGCCTGGCTGGGTGCAGGCTGTACGCTCGGCCCTCTGACCTCTGACACTAAACCAGCCCGCTGCAGGCTGTGGCGGTTGAGGGAACAGTAAGGTAATGTGAATGTTCTTTGTTGAAAAGTTAAACAACTGGGAAAACACCCAACGCAGAAAGGTAGTTTTGTTTTTGTTTTTGTTGCTTTTAATCATTAAGCCTCCGTTTGAGGCAAAAAGGATTCTAAGTTTCTTCCTTAAATGTAAAAGGATATTTAAATTTGATAGATTTGACTTACGAAGTTGCAGTCTTTTTATTATTGGTGATACTTAAAGTGAAGAGAAGCTACACTTTCTAAGCACTAAAATGCTTTTCAGGCCCTCCCTGGGGGCGCAGTGGTTACAGCACAGCACTAAGAAGCTTAAGCCGCTTCAGCATGAGTTCGATCCCCACCTGCCCCGGAGGTGACCACAGGGCGCGGCAGACCTCTCCTGACCCGCCTGCTGCTCTCCTCAGCAGTGTGCTTCGTCGATCTGCCTGTTCTGCTCCCCGCTCTGTCTCTGGTGAATCCTCTCACCCTCCGCATCTCTGGCCTGTACCCCAGTTCTGTATGAATAAATAAATAAACCTTTAAAAAAATGCTTTTCAATAGATACCCCTGAAAAACTCTTTTCCACTGAAAACCACAAAATGCTGCGTGAAAGATCAAATAGACACATACAGCTTAACACCGCATCAGCTGGCAGGAGGGTGAATATCCTTAGAGCCAAACCTGAAGGGAAGCTGTACCCCGAGAGGTGTGGGTTCCATAAAGACAGCCTTTGTCCTGACGGAAGTGGCCGAATTCTGCTGTTTCAGTTTGGTTGGCTATCTGGAGTGAGGGAGAGGGGAGGCCTTTCTGAGAAATCTGTCTATTCCATTGCTAGTGGTGGATGAACAGAGAACCAATGGAGTTACAAGTTGATTTTATTGCAAGTGTGATGGGAAAAAATATGCCCTGTGTGGCCTGAAGGCTCTGCTATACTTAAAACTGGCCCTGGACTGGCTGTGCCCTTTTGTAGAGTAACATAGCTTCGCCTTAGCTCTTAGAGAATTCCCATAGATAAAGTGCTGGGTAATAGCAGACCACACACAAGAATCTTAAAAGCACACAAAAATAAAGAATGCAAACCAAGAAAAAGAATCAGATCTCCACACACTTGAAGTACTGACTGGCAGGTAGAGAATCCAAAACTAGTGTCTTAGCGTTTTTAAAGAAATGAAACAATGCCCTCAATATGTGAGAAATGCTAAACAAAAGGCAATATAATAACTAGTGGGAAAAACATAATTTCTGTACTTAGAGATAAGAGAACTATAGCTATAAAATTCTGTGGGGTGAGCACTGTGCATTAAACCCAGCTGAAAAGAGCATCAGTGGAGTGGAAAATAGACCTGAAGAAATTAGCCAGAATGTCACCTAGCAAAACAAAGAGATACAACACGTGGAGGACAGGTGTCAGAGTCAGGGGAGGTAGGAGAAGAAGGTCTATTATGTTTGTTGACCTCTGCATATATTAGAGAAAGAACAGGATGGAGACCTTAGTGGAAAGACAACGGCTGAGCATTGTAAGTCAGATTAAAAAAGAAAGAAAGGAGCGTCCACCTGGACACTTCCCAGAGAAAAAGATGCCTGTGAAGAGCAAAGAGGAAATAGCCACAGCACTGAAAGGAAAAAATGAACTGAATTCAGAGGAAGGACAATTGAATGGACAGTGAAGTCTGGACAGTGGCAGTGAAAAGTGTAAGGTGGAGAAAGAACGGCCTCAAGGTACGTAATGGGGTATTTGCCATGCTCGACCTCGGGGCTCTCACTGGGCAATCGTATAGCCCCCGGCGCCCTCTGCTCCTCCCGTCACGGTTTGAACTCAGCTGCTGTTATCGAAGGGAGGGGAAGACCGTGGCTCCTCCGCCTGAGGTGGCCAAGGTTTCCCTCCGCTGGGCCTCATCTACTTTCTTCCCAGGGACTGGTGTGAAGAGGTGGCCTTCGCCCGCACGGGTGACCGGCACGAGGAGTGCGGCTAACACGTGCCTCCCACAGAACGGCAGCCCACTGTCCTCCGTGGGCTGACCACTCTGGCCTCCGCAGCTCCCTTCTGGAAAGCCCAAACTCGGCGCCCCTGACAGTGCGGAAGAGCACAGCACGGCAGAAGCGTGCCCGCCCATGCCCACCGCTGAGGCCGCAGCAGACCTGTCTGGAAACCAGCAGGCGGGAATCCCGGAGTGTGTTCAGCAGCTGAGCAGGTGGAGGCTACGTGAAGACCGGAGAGGACATTCAGCTTCTGAAGACATTTCAGAGTCCGAACTGGGATGACAGCAAAGCCCCGTGGAGTCACACGACTCCAAAGCGCGGCCTCGGCGCACGCGAAGGCGGGAGAGGATGCGCGTGGAACACCACGCCAGCAGAGACACTTGCAGCATCTGTGGCACGGCAGCGGCGTCCACGCCAGCAGA